ATGCAATTATGGCCAACAAGCAGATTAGTCCTTTTTTTTAATCCCCAGTTTGTCTGATTAAGGTAGATAGAATTATAGGGAAGTGCTTTGTGACTTGAGCAGAAGACAATACTATTTGTTCTGCCCTGAAATGAATGGTTTGATTCACACAGGTTGTGTGGTACAGCTGCACTAAGTGGTCACCTTTAAAATGTGTAGGTTTGTTGAAAGTCAGATCTCTGCTATGTCCCCATTATGAGCACTGAAGTACCTTTGAATCATTGTAGGAGATCTTACAGACGGGGAATGTGGTATTTATTTACATTTTAAGCTCATTGTAGCCACCTGCACTGGTTCTCTTACAGATTTCATTCATTCTCATGCAACAAGTTCAGTCCAGCCCAAATCACTTGTGTGCAACCATACACCACACGGTATGATGCCTGTGAATTCTTCACTAAACCTCCAAGTTTTGGGGCAGTTGTTTAATAATCTTTAACAATAGTTAAAGTCAGTAGTTGTTTTGTGATGATCCTTTGCTACAGTCTCTCTTCCTGCCTGGCTGCAAGTGAGGGAAATGGGAGATGTCTATCCTTCTGCTGTCAGACATGAAGTTCTCCCTCAAGTGAGTTGTGTGTCCTGTGGTCTTAGCAATGGCTCAAATTATCAGTCCCAAATTTCTTTTTCTGCTGTCATTTGTTATAAATTCAAGCTGTTCTTAGCCCCCCGGCTCTGCTATTTCTTCTGGCACTTTCATAAACAGATTTTTATTTGTACTAATCCAAATATTTATTTTACATATCTCTGTGCTGATGACTGGTTCCTGCAGATGCCAGCTCTGGTTTTGAAGAGCCTCTTGGTTCTTCTGTTCAGGAAAACATACAAATGACAGAGGGCCAAGACATCCCAGCAATTGGAATGAAAAAGAAGTTGCTCACATTTCCCCACTGAAAGCAGAAGTAAAATCTCATATTTAATTCCAATTATTCACTGCCCATTATAATTCACATTGATGAAAAGTTGCCACTGCCTCTTGACCATTTGGCTCCTATTTCTTTCACAGCAACATGTCATCTTCCTCAAAGGCAAAGCATCTGGACCACACCAACTCCATCCCATTCACTGCCTTCTGCTCCACAGCACCTGGCCCTGATCTGCAGCTGTGTGAGTGTTTTAGGGGGCCTGGCTAGAGGTAAGGAGGTGCTGTGAGGGAATACAAACCTCTGGAACCCCCTGCCTTTGTGGCTAGGTCTGCTATTGCTGGCGGGCTGGCCAGGTTGTGTTTGTGGTGTGATGGGCACATCGTGCGGCCAGAAAGGAGAAGTGCAGTTTGTGTTTGACCTTTTCCCTGAGCTAAGTCCTGCCACTCGGTCCAGCTGTGCAAACAAGTGGTAAAAGGACTCAAATTGCCCAGCTGCTAGCACTGGACAACACACCCAACTCCACGCTTCTATGCTGACGCTAAAATACTTGTCACTACAGTTTTCCCTCTGTTCTTCCTTAATCCTGCCTTTCATATTTCATTTGTCAGCTGCCATGGGTGTGCTTAAGTCATATTTTTAGGTGGTTCTCCAAAGTCAGAAGAAACAGCAGCAGCTACCTCTTTTAGGGAATATTGAGTAATAGTGCAGTGATGATCTAGAGGAGCGATGGGAAGTGTGTAGGCTTCGAGCAAGTCTTCTCATGGCTTTATAAAGAAGCTAAAGCAACGTGGCTGAGCTTGAATCTGCTTATGTAGGCATTATCAGAGCCGCTGTCCAGCTGAATGACTGGATTCCTTGGGAGCCTGCTGTAGTTCCAGGACCATAAGTAGCTGATTGGTGGCTTCAAATGTCAGAACAATGAAAATCTGCAGGCCCTACCTGGAGAAGAAAGTCTGGGAAAATGGAGAACTGCAGGGCTGAAATTCAGAGCAATATCAGAAGAACTGAGAGAGAGCCTGGGAAACAGAGGCTGGAAAGAATTAATCTAGATAAGAGTAATTACCTGCACTTAGACCGCTGGGAAACGGTAGGTGAAGAAGAAGGATCAGGAAGTTATGGGCAGTCAGAAGCAGGAGTCCTGAGCTGCGAATAAGCCAGATCCTGTTCCAGGGTGTGTAACAGGATCACAGCCCAGACTACCATACCGGTTCTGCCTAAGTACAGCCAAGCCCGTGCCAGAGCTTTGGATCAGTGCTGAGTTTCAAAGAAATGTGGCCCAAAGAATGAGAATGAAGTTGAGAACAAAGAGAATGGTCCAAGATGTGGAAATCCTGACCTCTGGGGAAAGAAAAAGGGTTGTTAGCCATGAGAAGAGAAAGACAAATACCTGCAAACACCTTTCAGAAGGCATAGGCAGACAAAACAGACTCCTGAGCAGTTTGTATGAAAACTAATTAATGTTGTTATCAGTTGGGGAACAGATAGGTTTGGTCCAAGCCCTGCATTTGCTGACGTCTCATCCATCCCAAACATTTGCATTGCGAGACTGAAATTTGATGCTGAAGATGGTGCAGATGCTATGCAAGAACATATGGTGAACCTCCAGGCTTCAGGTTTCATCCCAGAGAGCTGACTGGCTTGTAGTGTGAAACCCTTCAGGGTAGAAAGAAGTAACAAACTGATGTACCAAAGGAACTGGATAAACTGCAGGTCACTGCAGTTAGGGGCATATTAAAACTCTGAATTCATGCAGCTGGTGTTGATGATGGATCCAGTTCTGTGCGAAAAACATGCACATTCTCACCGTAAAGGTAACTTCTCATATATCACAAGTACCCTGCTTTCAAAGCTGGTCACTGTAAGGAAGCTCTAGTTCATGTCATAGATATGGAGATTACTGCTGAATCGTTGAATCCACAGGTGCAGAGAAATCCATTGTCTAAGCTGGAAAAACCCACGTGTGAATGAATCCTGAGATCTCAAATCAGCAAGAAAATATCCTTGTTATTCTTTGCCAGCCTTGAGTGACTTTGGGTGGGAGTTTGGCTGGGTTGACCCTGTATTATAGATCAAATAAGCCAGCTTCTCTTCAGCTAAGTTCCTAACAAAAACAGCCAGATGCCAGCAGAAAATCGGTATTGTCCTCCTGAATTTCTTAAATAACCTCTCCTTTAGATCACCAGCTGATTCCCCCCTTGTTACACCCACTCAGCCCAAGCCCAAGGGGAGGGGAACAATTTCTCGGTGCTTTGGCTGTTCCTGCAGACATCCTGGCACTTGTTTGATCGGGGGCGGAACAGGACGCAGACCTTTCCTGCCGGGGCCGAGGCCGCAGCCGGGTGCTATTCAGCTCCCAGAACAATGCCTGGCAGCTCCCGAGCAATTTAAACTGGCTAAAAACAGCCCAGCCTGGGGATGAATCATGACCCATCCGTGTTTGCTTCCGCCTTTCCACTCAGAGGCCTGAAATCAGCACGGCCTCTACTGGCAGGCAAGCGGCTCCCTGGAGAATGAGCAATAAACAACATTTTAAAGGGATTTTCTTTCACAAGGGCTTTGCTTGTGTGAATTCCAATAAAAAGCCAAACTCTAGAAAGTGTGCATCCGGGGCAGAGGGATGTGCAGCCTGCCCAAAGACTTGCTGTAACATTCATCAAAGAAACCCCAAATACAGAAATATTACACAGAAACAGAGATGATCCTGGATTTTTCCTGGCTGTGAGTTCTTCTGAGAGTGCCCATCGTGTTCTACTACAGCATTACAGCTCCGCTTCTTGAAGCAGCAGGAAAATACATACCCACCGTGCTTCTCTAGCAGAGAAAAAGCAAGATGCTCCAGGATATAAATGGGGCTGGCTCCACTGGGTGCAGCAGAATAAACCCAGTTCATAGCCACTGGGAATCTGGGCCATAACACTGGGATAGCAGAGCTGGAGCAGGCTGCAGGATCAAGGAGTATGGTCAGGAACAAAGCACTAATTAGGTGATTAGCCTTAAGTTTTAACTTCCATATTTTCCAGATTCTGTACTGCATTGGTGTATAAGTGAACTTCATATGAAGTGTTAGCAAGTTCTCCTCACAGTTTAATTAGACAAAACAATCCTTTTCCAGCCCGAGAACCAAGGACACAGCTACAGCTTCAGGCCCAAGAAGTATAAACAACAGCAAATTGAGGAGAGCAGTCTGGGAGGATGGGACTTCATCACCTGAAGCTGTAATTGAAAAATTAACCCAAATATGTAAATGGACCAAAACTTATAAAAGTGTGAAACTCATGACTGGCTGTCTGTCTTGGGTGGAGCCACAGCCAGGCTCTCCTGTACTGCGCAAGGTGCAGCTTTTGAAGGCCTTTTTAATAAATACCTACTTTATTCCTTTAACACTGTCCAGCCTCTGTTCCAGGTAGCCTCACAAGGCATCACAGGGACTTGGGATACCTGTGCTGTTGCCCTCACCCTGCTTTCAAATGGATAAGCAAACCCAGGATGGCTCTTTGGTCCTTCCTGGCCTAAAGCTGAGAACAATATTGTCCGTAAAGCACTTTATCAGACATTTGACCGCTAGAAAATCTCAGCATTAGCTAAGAAACAATCTCCAGGAGCAGGTGACACAGACAAAAACCAGAATCAGCCAATGAACAGCAACAAGGAGAAAGGTTTGTATTTCTGCACGATATGGGAACTCATCAGGATATGTCTACTCCAGCCACCAAGGAAGGGTCTGGCCAGCTACAAACCCCAGAGCAGCCTGCTTTAAAGCCTGGCTTGGGGATCTTCCCAGAAAGCTGTCCCGAGGGCAGGGCACGGCCGGCATCCCACAGGGATCACCCCTAGGGTAGGCACCGCATCCTGCAGCCGTGCCGGGAGGATCCCGGGATCCCTCGGCCGCCCCGCGGGCACTCGCGCAGGGCCAGTTTCAGTCGGTTTGCAGCGCGGTAACGCTGCCAGGGCACAGCTCGACCTCGGGAAGGTCAATATAGGAGTACAAGGAAACACCCTGCTGCTGACACCAGCTCCTCGAGGGGCTCCCGGGACATTCCCCAGCCTCCGCTGCCCAGCGGGCCCCGGNCGCTCGGTGAGTGAGGGCCGGGGCGCGGCGTGAGGGGGTCCCGGGGGGGATCCCGGGGGTCCCGGGCCGCGTTCCCTTTGGAATCCCGGTACCCTCGGGTGTGGTGCCTCTTCGCTTTTTTTATCTTGTGTTTTTGCTTAATCGCCCCTTTTTTCCGGCGGCGCACCGGTGGGCAGAAAGCGGGCAAGGAGAGGATCAGAAAATAGCAACCCTCAGATCCCGTAGGCCTGAGGGGCGAGAGTGGTGTCGTTTTTTCCCCAAAACGACCCCAGAAACGCTCCCCAGCCAAAGCGGAGCTGGCGGGAGACGGAAATTCCATCAGCATCCGCTGCGCTCACTGCATTCCATCAGCCAAGCGATATCCACGGGCGGTGGGAGCCGCTCCTGGGATAGAGCCCTCCTTGTCCGCCGCCTTTTGTGCAGCGCCCTGGCCGGCAGGGCCCTTCTGACGGCGTAAAAAAGCTCAGGCATCGCTTTTCAGGAGAGATCCCTGCGGACCTTCCCTTTGAAATGAATGAAGCAGCCCCACTGTCTTCCTCTGTTATCTCAAAACACGGCCACGGGTATAATTTCTGTGAGACAATTGAGGGCTTGGGTGTAGCTGGGAGTTTGGGCTGTTTTCCCGTGCTTTTCAGGCCAGTGGAAAGTTTCCACCGAGCCTAAAGCTGTGGTCATACAGCCCTCCTCGGTCCTGCCCGAGGATTTGGGATTGCTTCTTCCCATCGCCAGGGTTAATCTGGATGCGTCGCTGCCACTGGCAACCTGACCTCTGGATTGTTTTGGGCTTGTTGGAAAATGGTGAGAAAGCTTGTTTTCTAGACGCTCGTGTAGCTGGGAGTTGCACTTAGTGGCAGTAGTGTTGTCACTTTGTTGTTAAATACGACTTTTTGCCCGATTGTTCTGTGTGGGGGGATGTGTGTGACATCCCCATCTCGTTTGTGTCCGGGTGTGGTTTGGATATCCAACTCCCTCTGAAGTTAATTGAAATCAGCTGCCTGAATTAGAGACTTCGGAAAATGCAGTGGGATCTCTGGTGTCCCTTTAAATATCCCTACAAATCCTACAGTAAGCAGATTTACTCTCACTCCTGTGTATTGGCAGGTTTCCTGGTTTCTCTTTAGCATCCAATTAGCTTCTGGAGATTTAATGAACCTGTGAACCAGCACTTGCTCTTTTTTTAAAGACCAATGGCATTGTAGAAATGTAAATCACTGCATGCTGCCTCCATAAGATAACAAATGATCTGAAGTTCGGAGCGTTTGCCCTCCTCCACATAGTTAGGAAAATAACGGAAGGGCCATGGCCTGTAAATTTTATTTCATGTTGCTTAACACATGCTTTTTAGATTTAAGGTTGAACTGAGATGTTATTTACAGTTGTTTTTACTGGGCTGACACCTGACTCAAGCTACTAAATCTGGTGGAGGTAACGATGTTCAAATCCCCTTGAATTTAACATTTGAATTTGAACAGAATTTTTGGCATCTTAAAAATAAAGCTGTCCTGAGGTCGACTTTTGATTACAGCACATTTACTGTAAACTTTAGAGGCTGCTTTGATGCCTTGTTAAGCTTTTCTTTATATATATTTTTAAGTCACGTAACCAAGGGCAGGTTTATCGATTACATTTTTTACAACAACCCCACCTCTTTGTGTGGAAATACAACCTTTCCGAGGGCAGAAGAGAGCAGTGCAGGTTTCTGATAACGTGATGTGCATAGGGTTGGCTTTGGTGGCGATTGAGGGGGCTCCAGCTGTGGGTTGGGGGCTGGCGGGGGCCGGGCTGTGCTCGCCCCCTCGGCAGCCGCCGCCGTGCGGGATCAGCTGCCGGCTCTGGGGAGGGGGCGGGCGGCTGCGGGGGCTGCCACAGATTGTGCCTGCGCTGGGGCTTTGGTCTCCCCTGGAGACCCGGCGCGTCCTCCCGCCGCTCTTTGTTCCCGTGCCCGTGGGAAAAGCCCGCTTGTCGGAGGGAGGGGTGGATCATAAAGCGAGGCTGTGACAAAAGAGCTGGCGGAGGGAGTGAGTATTACCTTGTTACCCACTTCCAAGTATTGTCTGGGAATTCTTTATCGCCTCTTTTTTTTTTTTTTAATTTAAATTCCCTTTTAGTTGAATTTGCTGTTGGTGCTCCCTTGGCTGGTCTCAACCACTCTGCTAACGTTTCGCTGCTGCCAGCACCTTGGTTTGGGCTGGGTGTCCTTCATTTGGCTCACAGGTTATCCTGCAGCAGCTCCTCACTCAAGCCCAATTAGTGCATGTATTTCCATTAATTAATTTCCCAAAGAGTTAATTTCATGAACTGAGGTAGAAGATGCAGAGCTGAGCGCCAGGTTTGTGGTTTGCAGCCTCCTACCTCCCCCTCTAACTTTTTATAGCTGCTTCTTGCTTCTGGGTGGCTTCTGCTTCAAGGTTTTGGGTTTGTACCTTTAAAAAGTGCTTGGCTTTCCACCCCAGCAGCCTTCAGGGCTCAGCCATGCCAGAAGGTGCTTCATGTCCCAGTTAATGATGTCTCATTTGGACCCAGTGAGTTTATGGTGCACAAACTGCTGGTGGCATTGGCCATCAGTGGAGGATTCCAGTGCCTGGTATAAAGCCCAGTTTGTTCTTGGCATGGTCATCCTTGAAAGCAGAAATGCTGCAGAGATGTGAGGGTTTGCTCCTTCCACTGTCCCACCTGGCATATCAAGATGCTTCTTTATGAATTTTGGGGTCTCATCCAGATTATGTTTAAGCTCTTTATTACTGGGCAAATGCCGTTTCTTGACATGGAGACAAAGGGACGCTGAGATGTCATTGCTGTGTGCTGTGTATTGCAGAGAGCCCGAGGCTCAGCATCGACCTGCGGAAGAAGCTCTGTCCTGATGGCCGTGGATGTGGGAAAATCACCTTCTGAAGAGTCACTGAGCGGGAAGGCCGAGGGCAATGGCAGGTGGGACGGCGCAGACACGGAGATGGACATCCTGGAGCTGGCAGGGAGCCTCCACCAGCTTCTAGGGACAGAGGAAGCCAAGCCCAGCCTGCAAGGCGCAGAAAGCATGGCAGTGAGCAGGCACAGTCACATGGCCACTGGTGTTACCCAGGGAGGCTCAAGCTGCCACCCAAAAGTGTCTTCAGCATTTGTGCCCAGATTTTCCAGAGCAAGCGCAAACTCCTCAGGGAAAGGGGTGTTAGTGGACAGAGCTGCTGATGGTGGCCCTGTGCCTCGACGAGTTGGCCACTGGTTCCTCTCTTCAGAAGAAGAGCAGGTGAGAGGGTTTGGACCTGCAGGTGTTGCTGCACCACGGGGAGGTCCCAGGAGAGGTGGGGACTTGTTTGTCAGGGCTGTCCCAGGGCTTTCCATTTCTCCCAGCCAGAGTGTGCCCATCCCTGCCTAGGCTAAGGTGTGTGGTGGGGAAGGACTTGGGCTCCAACACCCAAGCTGTTGCTTCCATTCCCATGTTGCCAGTGCAGAGCTGGGAACTTGCTCAGGACAGTGCTCTTTAAATAAGCCTCTTGCTGCCAAACAACTCGTGCAGCTTCCCAAGCCCTTGAGGTGCCTTTCTCTGAGCAGCTGCAGGCCATCCCACAGACGGAACAGAATTCAGCTTCCAGCCTCAGCTCATGGCAGGTCCAGGGTTGGGCTTTTATCTCCATATCCTGTCACAAAGGAGCCTTTTGTCTGGATGTTGTGCTCCATTTCATGCATGGCTCTCTCTCCCTTTCCCTTTCCATCCCATCATTGAGCAGGTGAAGGCATCGGGCTCTTGGGACCCGGTGTCCAGCCCTCCCAGCCGGCGCAGCTCTGCCGAGGAGAACGTCCTTGCTGGCAGCCGCCACGATGCCCATGTTGGCCGTCGGAGACAAAGTCTGGGAGCTCAATCCCCGAGTCCTTCCACCCCGGAGCTCCTGCGGCCCCAAAC